TAACGCATTCTTGAGATGAAGCTTACGAAGTCACCCAAGAGGCAGAACTTAATTAGTTGGTTTGACTGCTTTCGAATAATCAAATTTGTACCACATACACTTAATGTGCGCCTGGAGTGAGGCCATTTGACGATAAGTAACATTGAGTCATGTTCTACTCAACGACGACTAATGCTTAACATGAGAGAAGCGTTGCTCCTGTGAAAACAACGACGGGATCAACTTTCAAACATGCAGAGCACACTTATGGAGAAGTGAATAGCAGTAAAAATAACCGAAGAAGATCCTGAGGGAACTTTGTTGGAAAAAAGGCTAACTTTTAACAAGTCATTACCCAAGCTGCCATTGCTCATCCCGGCGTCTTAAGCATGAAATGACGAGGAGTGTCATCATTCCTCCTGGATGGGATTTTTGTCCCCTTCAGGTTACCCCTCCCATTCTTCAGGCCAGTTATCGACAGTACCTGGCACCTATTTATGTTCGCTGATGAAAATAAGCAGAGTTGGAGTCACGTTTTTCACCGAGGTTTAGAACAGGAAAGGAACAGGAAAAGCGACAAGCAATGAATTATGTGGATTATATTTATTCTAATTCATTGGTTTCTAATGACGAATGTTAATAAATTTATTAAGCAGACTTGCTGAACGAAATGGTAACGCAATGCTAGGTTAAGCTTTTCTGGCGTGCAGTGGTCACAGTAGCTGCAACTGTAGTAAATTATCCTTGTTACGTTTATGACCATAGTTTTCTCAAATGGTAAACTTAGTGTAATTTCACTGAACAAACTTTGCATCAACCACAAAAAAAGTTTTTTCTATAATCATGTAGCTTATTTTCCTACATGGATTGTAAAATACATTCTCATAACTTTATAGACGATTTCGCGGCCTTAGAATTTCGTTTAACAGATTTCAAACCTGTAATTTTATGCTGTATATGTATTCTTCTTTCCTAAATTTCAAAAAAATCGTCCCCTAGGACAATATCATTCCATCGTATATTATGGAGATAAGAAGGGAATAATTCAAAATGATGAAAATAATTTAAATAGTAAATTACAAAACCACCCTGTCATGGAGTATTTCAATTCTAAGCTATAAAACGCATATCAAAGTACAGGTGAAATACCCACAAATTCTCAAATTCCTTGCAGAAAGGCTCAGACTCTCTAATAAATCGTTTTCTGGTACCAGCTCTTTGCAAAATAAGAGACGGGGAATTTTGAACTTTCGCCAGCAAATCAAAGAGTTACGTTTAAGCAATGCTTTCAAATGGCGTGATAGTTATGAAACTTACAGCAAACTCACAGGTAGACGACTCCATGGGTTTGATTCTGCGTGACCTCCATTATTTGGTACGGTTGTAGACTTGTCGTAGTTCGCAACCGTTGGTATGCTTTGATCCATGCAAGTGATTAAGAGAAAATTTCCGTTAATGCTTCAATTTGTAACCTTTTTTTTCGCTAGAATCCGTTTCATTGAGAGTGAAATAAATAGATATAATGCAGCATTTGGAGGGGTGTCATAACTTTACCTTTTATTCTTTAAAATACGTTATAATTTCTCATAGTACGGTTTAACTCACAAGCTGATGAGAAGAATCAATTAGTAACTGAGAGAGTTTCCGTTTCGCTCACTCAACCCTTGACTGTAACTACGGACTCGGATGCCTAGCAGACTCGACACCTTTTGAAATGTATTTGTTTTAGAGACTTATTGCTCTCGGTTTTATTGTACCCACGAATCAAGTATTAACCACAATTCTTGCTCGTTGAGCAATCCCTTAGTGCACGGTTACTGGAAAATCACTGAATCACTGGAAGCTGTTCATAAATGTGTCGCACAAAAATTCCCAAAAAGGTGTGCCTCGAAAACGTGTCTCCGGTGCATCTGTTTTGTATATGGATTTTGTATATGAGGAGTTTCCTCGTTTTCAATGTAACTTTCAAGTAATGTCAAGCCTTTTTAAATATTTACATTTTTATGGTGCCATTTACAGATGCATTCGGGCAGAATAATTTGTTCAGCTCGGGATCATGGTATCATAAGCGTGTTATCACAATTAAATTGTGCATTTCTTCGGTGGCAGTTGACTATGACCATTATTTCAGCTCAGAGTAACATTGAATTTTAAAGAACTACAGACAGGTTTCATTGACAATTAAGGCATGTTTGCATGAGTTTGGTAATGTGTCTTTGTTAGCAGCAAATGTTTGTCGTGAAATCTTTCGTGTCAGCCGATAATCTATTTTGACCCCATTGATTTATTCATTATAAGCTGTAATTCCAGCTAATTTCCTAAGAATTAGAATGTAATTGAGCTTTTAAGGTGTTATTGAATGTTTAAATTTCAACTTTTGTTTCTTGAGCTTGCAGTAGGCATAACCGTTCACCAAAACCTCGGTCAAACAAAATGAAAGTTTGATACAAGACGTTTTTCGCTGTCCTTAAGAAGCACCCTTAGAATAATACTTAGAAACAGGGACCGACTGTATGATTCAAACCCGTGTTGCAACTT